GATAAAAACTCTCAACCAAAATGGGCATAGACAACAAGTACCTCAACATAATAAAGGCCATATGTGACGAACCCACAGCCAACATCATACTTAACTGCGAGAAGCTAAAAGCTTTCCACCTAAGATCGGGAACTAGACAGGGATGCCCACTGTTATTCAACATAGTACTGGAGGTCCTAGCCATGGCAATCAGACAAAACAAAGAGATACAAGGCATCCAGTTTGGTAAAGAAGATGTCAAATTGTCACTATTTGCAGATGACATGATACCATACGTAAAAAACCCTAAAGACTCCACTCCAAAACTCTAGAACGAATATCTGAATTCAGCAAAGCTGCAGGATACAAAATTAATACACAGATATCTGTTGGTTTCCTATACACTAATGATGAACTAGCAGAAAGAGAAATCAGGAAAACAATTCCATTCCCAGTTGCATCAAAAAGAATAAAATACCTAGGAATAAACCTAACCAAGGAAGTGAAAGACCTATGCCCTGAAAACTACAAGACACTCTTAAGAGAAATTAAAGAGGACACTAACAAATGGAAACTCATCCCATGCTCTTGGCTGGGAAGAATTAATATTGTCAAAATGGCCATCCTGCCTAAAGCAATCTACAGATTGAATCCAATCCCTATCAAAATACTAATAGCATTCTTCAACGAACCACAGCAAATAGTTCCTAAATGTACATGGAACCACAGAAGACCCTGAATTGCCAAAGCAATCCTGAGAAGGAAGAATAAAGCAGGGGAGATTTTGCTCCCTGACTTGAAGCTCTACTATAAAGCCACAGTAATCAAGACAATTTGTTACTGACACAAGAACAGACCCATAGACCAGTGGAACAGAATAGAGAGTCCAGATATTAACCATCCATACATGGTATATTAATATAGAATAAAGGAGCCTTGGATATACAATGGGGAAATGACATCCTCTTCAACAGCTGGTGTTGGCTAAACTGGACAGCTACATGTAAGAGAATGAAACTGGATTAGTGTCTAACTCCATACACAAAAGTAAATTCAAAATGGATCAAAGACACAATTGTAACTCATTAAACCAGAAACCTCTTAGAAGAAAACATAGGCAAAAATCTCTTGGACATAAATACGAACAACTTCTTCATGATCATATCTCCCCGGGCAAGGGAAACAGAAGCAAAAATGAACAATTGGGACTATATCAAACTAAAAAGCTTCTGTACAGCAAAGGACACCACCAATAGAACAAAAAGGCATCCTACAGTATGGGAGAATATATTCACAAATGACATATCCAATAAGGGGTTGACATCCAAAATATACAAAGAGCTCACACACCTCAACAAACAAAAAGCAAATAATTCAATTACAAAAAGGGCAGAGGATCTGAACAGATACTTCTCCAAAGAAGAAATTCAGGTGGCTAACAGGCACATAAAAAGATGCTCCACATCGCTAATCATCAGAGAAATGCAAATTAAAACCACAATGAGATATCACCTCACACGAGTAAGAATGGCCACCATTCAAAAGACAACAACAAATGTTGGCGTGGATGTGGAGAAAGGGGAACCCTCCTACACTGCTGGTGGGAATGTAAATTAGTTCAGCCATTGTGGAAAGCACTATGGAGTTTCCTCAAAAAACTCAAAATAGAAATACCATTTGACCCAGGAATTCCACTCCTAGGAATTTACCCTAAGAATGTAGCAGCCCAGTTTCAAAAAGACATATGCACCCCTATGCTTATCGCAGCACTATTCACAATAGCCAAGAAATGGAAGCAACCTAAGGGTTCATCAGTAGATGAATGGATAAAGAAGATGTGGTACATATACACAATGGAATATTATTCATCCATAAGAAGAAAACAAATCCTACCATTTGCAACAGCATGGATGGAGCTAGAGGGTGTTATGCTCAGTGAAATACACCAGGTGGAGAAAGACAAGTATCAAATGATTTCACTCATCCGTTAAGTATAAGAACAAAGAAAAACTGAAGGAACAAAACAGCAGCAGACTCACAAAACCCAAGAATTGACTAACAGTTACCAAAGAGAAAGGGACTGGGGATGATCGGTGGGAACGGAAGGATAAGTGGGGGAAAGGGGCATTATGATTAGAAGACATAACGTAGGGGGGTGCATGGGGAAGGCAGTATAACACAGAGAAGACAAATAGTGACTCTATAGCATCTTACTACACTGATGGACAGGGACTTGAAAATGGCAAGAGTCTAGTAACCATAATGTTGCTCATGTAATTGTACATTAATGATATATAAATAAATAAATAAATAAATAAATAAATAAGAAGAATCCATGAGTTCTATACTGAAACAAATAAACAAATTAATAAATAAATATGTGGGGAAGAAGGGAAAATTCTTCTTTACATTAAAACCCCAGCTATATGTATACAAGGAAATCATTTTTGCCCATATCACAGTGGTAATTGCTTCAGGTAAGAATCACCAGTGTATGTCAAACAGTAGGTGAAAGTTTGAAGGTAAATAGAGTTACATAGTCTCAAAGTATGGCCTTATAACATACATATTACTTACAAAGGGAAAAATGGTACATTTCCCTGGAGAAACCTGAAATACACCACTTAATTAAGTGATCAAAGCGAACACCAACAATTTTAGAATTAAGCGATACTTTGTGCTTCCCAATACACTGAGAATACAGTGTATTGTGTCACTTCCATGGAATTCCTGCCAAAAATGCATAAGCCAACTCAAATTCTGAGGAAACATCAGATAAATCCAAATTGAAGGACATTCTTCCAAAGAACTGGCATGTGAGCTCCAAAAACATCAAGACTGTGAGATTTAAGGCAAGAACCAAAACACTGTTCCAGACTGAGAGGGACTAAAAAGACCTGATAACAGAATGCATCTCATGACCTAGGATGTCCTTTACCTGAAAAAGGACATTACGGGTACACCCAAGAGGATGGCTAGAATAAAAAAGTCAGATAACAACAAGTGTTAATGAAAATCTGGAGAAGCTGGAACCCTCATACTCAGCTGGTTGGAATGCAAGAAGATGTCCTTGTTCTTAGAAAACTGACACTGAAATATTTAGTTGAAAGTGAATCACGTCTGCAACTCCTATCAAGTAGTTGAGGAAAAATTATGATAGAGATATACAGAGAGATGGACAGAGAGTAAATAGGTTATTATTATAAGGCTTGGCTATTTTTTTTGGCCAATCTAATTAGTGAAAAATAGGATCTGTTGTTTTAATTGCATCTCTTTAATTATGGGAAGACCATTTAAGATGCCCCAGAAACCATAATCCAGAATTACCACAAAGGCCATAAAATTTGACAGATATTTACTGAGTGCCCACCCTCTACTGAGCTCCAGTGCCACACCTAGTAGATGTGAAATGATATCTAATCATTGTTTTAATTTTGCATCCCTGATAACTAAAGAGATTGATTTTTCATATATTATACATATTGGCCATTTCATGAGTCTTCTGCTGTGAATTACCTATTCATGTCCACTGTCCATTTTCTTGTGTATTGTTTGTCCTTTTCTTGGAGGTGTGTACATGTCCTTTATCTGTCCTAGAATCTAGATACTAGTTCCTTTTCACACACATCAAAATACTAGATGGAAACAATCAAGTCTGTGACATTCAAGGTCATGCATAGTGAGGATCTTCCAATTTTAAATGTCAGGTCTTGCACTTAGGGGAAATATTTCTGGCATGTCTGTGAGTCGTTGACTCTACTTGAGTACCTCTGAAAACTAAGAAAAAAAATAGAATGAAGTTTAATTCATAAAATTATGGCCTGTATTCTGCTGTTAGGGAAAGGAATTAATATTTGTGTATCTCATCACTGTAATTATTCATTGTATATATTCTCACTGTGTTAAATATTTTCCATATGTAATACATGAATATTAATTTATGAGTTGAAACTCTAACTTCCTGTTAACTTTTTTTTTAAGAGAGAATACATACATTTCTCAATTGATATTGGTATTTCCAAGCAAAGAACTGCTAATCACACTCTTTTGTTTAACAGAAAGGAACACTGAAGCCGGATGAGTGTACATGATTTACCAGCTCCTTACAGGTAGGCATTAATCTGATTAGAACCTGTTTTTCTTAGCTCCTCAGCTCACCGTAGGGTCCAGCTTGACCTGGGTTTCCTTCTCCCATCCATCACGTAGCTAAGCATGCAGTATGTGCCCAATAAATGCTCCTTTGGGAGAATAGTCCCTTCCTCAGCCTAACTTCAGAAGGGTACGGGAGGCAGACAGCAGGTACTACATAAATCCTCATTGCTGGGAACACTCTTGAATGTTTTGTGTACGCTCCCGATGCTCCGTACTAGCCTCCCCATTCACAGGGAACATCGACAATGCTGGGATCACCCGCATTACAGGGGTGAGGACAATGGGGAAATTCAGCAGGCAAATCAGTTTTCAACAAGCCAAGTGCTCACAAGGAGTCCCTAGGGGAAGCACAAGCGCCCAATTAGTGCTCCTACGTGACACAGTCAATATTTATAAATGTTTCTGGCCCGTCCCGGGAGGGGAGGGAGTGAAGGGTGGAAAGGGCTAGAAATTCCTTTAGTTCCCTCAAAGGAGGGGGAAGGACTGACCTCACTTTATTTTCCGCTCTGTGAAATGGGGGGCACGACAGTGTCGAGAGGACTTGCACGGGTGGGCAGCTTGGTGCGGGTTTGGGCTCTCCCTCCTTCCTCCCCATCTTTTCCATCTCAGCTTCCAAGGATTAGGAATTTGACGACCCGTAAATTTGTTCTCGGAAGGCCAGAAGACCTCCAACCGCAAACTTTCAGGGGCTGAACACCAAGAGGCAGGAAAGGTGAGGACGCCAACGCTCAGCGCGCCGACGTCCTCCAGCGCCAGCTCCTCTCAACCTCCTGTTCCTCCTTCCCTCGATCCTCCCGCTCCCCTCCTCCTCCTCCTCTGTCTCCGCCCCGCTCCCGTCCTCCCATTGGCCAAGCTGGCCGGCCGGACCTCCCCGGGATTTAAAGGGCCCGCTCTCCGCCCTGCCCTGGGAGCCACAGCCGGTCCCGGCCTTGCGATCTGCGGGGGAGGCTGTCCGGAGCAGGCGGTGACGGTGGCGGCGTTGGTGCGTCCCCGGCCCTCAGGACCGCGGCTTCCTTCCTGCCAGGTAGGTCGCCAGAAGTGCGCGTGCGGCTCCCCCGCTCCCATTCTGAGCCGGCCTCCTGGCGCGGGTCTGCAGCGCGTGTCCTGGGGGCTGCCTCTCCATCACCTTTCCGACTCCCCCTCCTGCTCTGTCCCCGACTACCACCTCTACCTCCCTGCAGCCCCCGGGCCAGGGCAGAGTTTTGTTGGTGGCCGTAAGCGGCCGGGTGGGAGTGAGATGGGGCGCGTGGGGGATACAGGACACCCCTCACATCCGTACAAGGAGAGATGCACACGGCCCCCAAGTGCCACAGGATCTTTCTCTGTGCCCTCCACACAGAGTGACTCTACCTTGGAAACCAAGGAGCTCCCCCATTTGATATACGGGCCCAGAATGTACACCATTCAATCACCACCGGAACCGGACCATTCACAGCATACAACAGACACAGGTCCATCATTCACTGCAGATCATGGGTTGTATGTGCGCACCCAGGACACCACCCCACACACAGTTGATGGCTCTGTGTGATGTACCGGGCACTCACACCCTCCCCCAAGCCCCAAGTACCTGTCTCTATGTGGGTTGGACAGCCCCAAATTTAAATCTGAATGCTGAAGTTCATCCCTTGAGTATGGTCTGCCCCATGGACATCCCAGCTCCCTCTGTGCCCACCCTTTGGCAGGTCTCTCCATCTGTCCATCCATCCGTGGGGGTCCACAATGGCCACCTTCAGCCGCCAGGAATTTTTCCAGCAACTACTGCAGGGCTGTCTCCTGCCTACTGCCCAGCAGGGCCTTGACCAGATCTGGCTGCTCCTTGCCATCTGCCTCACCTGCCGCCTCCTCTGGAGGCTTGGTAAGTGCCTGCCACACCATGTGCTACCACACCAGGCCATATGACACCTACCACATTCATCCATATCAAGCCACACCTTATCCTGCTACATCTTGCCGTGACAAGACAGGCTCCAACATGTCCAGCCCACCACATCCCACCAGGCTAAGTGCCATTCCCCCACACCAGGTTCTGCACCCAACCATCCATGCCACACCATGCCAAACCATGCCTTTCAGTATTCCTAGGTTCTGGGATTTTAGAAAATTGAGTTTCTGGATCTTGGGATTCTGAAATGTCTACATCCTGAGGTTATAAGATTCTGGAATGCTGATATCATAGGGTTATAGAATCCCAAAATACCAAGTTACAGGGTTTAAGTATTCTGACAAGTTGAAATTCTCACATTCTAGGCTTCCAAAATTCTGTTATTTTCAATTTCTAGAAGCAAGGCATGATGAGATTTTTGGATTCTAGGATTCTGGAATGTTTCCACAATCACAGCAAGCCTATATCCAAATGATAAGATTCCAAGTTCCCAAGGTTCCTATAGGATGCTGAGAATTTTGGTAATCTGAGATTTAAAGGTTCTACACTTTCTTTTCCTTTTATTTTAAATGGGTTTTTTTCCCCCTGGTTTATCATTTTGAATATTTCAAAATTACCGAAACGTTGAAGGAATAGCACAATGAACATCCATATATGCATTACCAGATTCTCTGTCAACATTTTGCCACATTAGCTCTACCTACCTACCTATCTACCTATCTACCAATCAATAAATATACCCAACTGTATATCTATTATCTATCTACCTACCTACCTATCAGTCTACCCATCTATCTACCTATCTACCCATCTCTCTCTCTCCAATTACCTTTCTATCTATCTATCTATGTATCTATGTATCTATGTATCTATGTATCTATCTTTGACCTACCTACCTATCATCTTTCTGAATCACTTGAATAACCTGCTGACACTTCACCCCAAATCCTTCAGTGTGTGTCCCCCAAGAACAAGGACATCTCCCAACAACCACAGCCTCAACCATCACTCCTCAAGAAATTTAATCTGGATGCAATAATATTATCCAATATAAATTGATATTCAGATTTCCTTTAGGGTTCCCAAAATGTCCTTTATAGATGTTTCTTTTTTGTAAACCCAAGCCCTGCCACTTCTCCAACTCTCCAACACCTGCTTTGGGCCTCCTCCATCCCACATTCCAAACCCTAGGTCTTTGCCCAGGCTATGCCCTCTGCCAGGTTGCCCTTCCTTCCTATTAGCCCGCCTAACTTCCCTTCTTCTCTTTCTCTCTCTCCCAAAGGGTTGCCATCCTACCTGAAGCATGCAAGCACTGTGGCAGGTGGGTTCTTCAGCCTCTACCACTTCTTCCAGCTGCACATGGTTTGGGTTGTGCTGCTCAGCCTCCTGTGCTACCTCGTGCTGTTCCTTTGTCGACATTCCTCCCATCGAGGCGTCTTCCTCTCTGTCACCATCCTCATCTACCTACTCATGGGGTACGGGTGTGAGTCCTCATCCCTCCACTATTGGCAGAAGGGTGGGTGGGCTCACAAGCTGCTCCTTGTGAGGCTGTCCAGGACAGGGAGGTGTGGAGTGTTCCCAGAGGAGGGAATCTGGGAGACTTGTTCTTTCTAAAGGCTGTACAAGACAGGCTGGGCTTGGCTTCCCCCCTGGAGCAGGTAGTCTTGGAGAATTATTCCTCCATGAGGTTGTACAGGACAGGGAAGGTATAACCCTTTCTGCTCCTTGGTTTCTCCTTTTGTGGTCTCTGAGGCCATGGGAGTCGTGGGGCCAAGACCACCACCATTTTTCCTCAGTGAGATGCACATGGTGGACACCGTGACATGGCACAAGATGCGAGGTAGGCAGCCCTGGCCCTCTCACCCACCCTAGCCCTCCTGCCCGATTCCTCACCTCCTAATTCCCCAACCTTTTCTTTCCTTCCTCACTTCTCTTCCTCCTCTGCTCAACCCGCTAGACCTGCAGGCCTCAGACTTCCTTAATGTCTGTGTCTTTCTCTGCCATGACTCTCCCCACTGCCCATCTGTCCCATCTCACGTATGTGCCTGACTCTTGAGGAAGGGCATCTCCTGGTCCTGGGCCCACCTGCTCACCTGCCTGTCTGACCTGTGCCCACCTGTCTGCCCTTGTACTCCTTTTGTCCTGCCACCTCTCACCTGGTGCTCCCCCATCGCCCATGCTGATCTGCTCTCCGCCCATTCACTTAACCATGGGCACCATACATAGGGGCCCAGATGATCGTGGCCATGAAGGCGGTGTCTCTGGGCTTCGACCTGGACCGGGGCGAGGTGGGTTCAGTGCCTTCACCTGTGGAGTTCATGGGCTACCTCTACTTCGTGGGCACCATCGTCTTTGGGCCCTGGATATCCTTCCACAGCTATCTGCAGGCTGTCCAGGGTCATGCACTGGTGAGGTCCTGGGTGGACAGGTGGCAGGGAATGTGGGAGCCGTGAAAGGGCATGTTCACAGAGCCTTGGTCCCCACAGAGCTGCCAATGGCTGCGGAAGGTGGCCCGGAGCCTGGCACTGGCCCTGCTGTGCCTTGTCCTGTCAACCTGTGTGGGCCCTTACCTCTTCCCGTACTTCATTCCCCTTGATGGTGACCGCCTCCTTCGCAAGTGAGCACAACCTTCAGGGCCTCTGCCCAGCAGTGAGGGGGTTGGATAGGGACCTGGGGTCTCCCCAGCTCTGAGCTTGTCTCTTAATACTTCTGTCTGTCTTCTGTTACTACAGCAAGAAACGCAAAGCCAGGTAAATGAGGGCAGGTGCTGAGGGCAAGTGGGGCTGACTGGTGATAGTGGGGGTGGCCTGTGACTGACTGTAAGTCTGAGACTGACCATCTACCCTGTGCCTAAGTAATGACTGAGTGTCAGTCTGTGACTGTTGTTTGACCAAGAATGGCTCTGTGACTGTGTGTATAACTGAGATACTCTGACACATACTGTGTCTGGCTGTCCATGTGTTCCACTGTTTGACTATTTTCTAGCTGCATGACTGTAGTGGAGAGTGACAAGTATGTATTGGTTGGTGGTGCCAACTTGTGTGCAACTCTGGCTAGGGGTGTGTATGAGACGTTTGGCTCTCAGCCACTGACTCCCTGTGTGGGACTGGAGTTCTGGCTGTCTAGCTATGCCATTGTCAACAGTGGGGCATGTGGCTGTCATTGGATGAGATAAGTCTGGCTTGTCTGTAACTCTGCCTGGGACTGGGTCTGGCTGTAGCGTGTTTGGGCCCATATGATGGATCTGCCTGCCTTCTCAGTGTCATCTAGCTGGCTGTGCCTCTTTCTGTCCCCAGCACCAACCATCCACCTCTAGTGTGACTTCAGGATTTCATCCAACTGTTTGATTGTATAACCCCCACCCCCACTCACTGGCCACTGATTGTCTGATGCTGAATGAGGCTCTGAAAGGTGGAGCGATTTGCCCAGTTTCACCCAGCTAAGCAGCCAAAAGTGTTAATGCCGGGACAGATTCTAGAACCTATGCCTTTTCCAGGGCAGGATGCTGCCTGGTTTTGACCGTGTCTGATTGTACAACTGACAGGATGTCTGTCTTGAGTATAGAATTATGCATGTGTGCACAGCAGGGTGCTTGATGGTCTCTGTGCCTAACTAAAGGATTTTTGTGTGTCTGTGGTCACTGAGTCAGGTTAGAGAGCTGTGAGGCTGGGAGGCTGATAGAATTTATATCTGGCCACATGGCTGTGTCAGAGTGGAGGGCTGGAAGATTGGAGGAAGGTTGGATTTCTGATGGTGTCTGGGTCTGGATGTCTGGCCATGTATAGCTGCAGGACAGTGTCATATTATAGGGCAGCTCGCATATCTGTGCCACATGAAAGTAACTGACAGTGTATGTATGTGTGTGACTACCACAGTGCACCTCTTTTGCCGACATGTTTCTGTCTGTCATGTCTACGAACAACTCAAGCCAGCCTCCAGGGCCTCTCTGACTTTTTCCTTTCTTCTCTGCTGCCTTCCTGACCCCTGGGGGCCCTAGGGGCACCATGGTAAGGTGAGTCTACAGAGTGGGGCTGGGGCTGCTGACACATGGTGGGGTTCAATACTAGAGCCTGGGCACGATGCCTCTGTCCCCTTCTCCTTTCTCCTCAGGTGGCTGCGAGCCTACGAGAGTGCTGTCTCCTTCCACTTCAGCAACTATTTCGTGGGATTTCTTTCGGAGGCCACAGCCACATTGGCAGGGGCTGGCTTCACCGAGGAGAAGGACCACCTGGAATGGTGGGGAGGGCTGAGGGGACTCCTCTCCCACAGGGTGCTGCCTAGAGGAGCTGCAGGGAGGGGGGGCGGTCCTTCTGGGGGAAGAAACAGCCAAGACGAAAGTGTGGCAGTCAGGTGGGTAAAGATCCCAAATGAATTTTCATGACTCTTTTGCCCACAGGGACCTGACAGTATCCAAGCCATGGAATGTGGAGCTGCCCCGGTCCATGGTAGAAGTTGTCACAAGCTGGAACCTGCCCATGTCTTATTGGCTAAATAACTGTGAGTCACCAAGTCACCACTCCAAGAAAGTTGGGGGCACCTTTTCACACATTCAGCCTAAGCCCTTTCACCATAGTCACACAGCAAACATTTACTGAAAACCTACTGTGTGCTAGGCACTGAAGATACTGCAAGGACCAGAAAAAAACACCCCAAATCCCTGCCCGTGTGAAGCTGGCATTTTTGTGGAAAGAGCCAGTAATCAGAAGGAAAAAAAATACACAATAGTTCACTTATTGATAAGTGCTATGATAAAAAAAAATAAAGCAGGTAAAGATGATCTAGTAGTGTTGGAAGTAGTGTTGGAGGGGGTTGCAATTTTAAAGTAGCCAGAGCAAGTGCCACTGAGGAAGTGACATTTGAGCAAAGACCTGAGGATGGAGAGACAGCAAGCAATGCACAGGTGTGAGAGAGCAGTGTAACAGAGGCAGGGATAGCACCAGTGCAAAGGCCCTGAGGCAGGAGCACACTTAGCACTTGAAGGGACAGTGAGGAGACCAGTGGCTGGAGCAGAGTGAATGAGGGGCCAGTGGCAGGAAGTGAGATCAGAGAGGTGACAGGGGCCTGGTCCTGTAGAGCCTCACCGGCCATGGGGAGGACTTGGGCTTTTTCTCCGAGAGAGATGGAGGCTCGGCAGAGGTCTGAGCAGAGGGCCCAGGGCTGACTTGGGTTGGAACAGGATGCTCTGGCTGCTGTGATGACAGAAACGGAGGGGGCAAGGGCAGAAGCAGTAAGGTGGCCACTGCAGTAGCCCCTGCCAAAGATGGTGGCAGTGGTGGCAGTGTGTGTGGAGAGCAGAGGTCAGATGCTGGATAAATTCTAAGGGGGAACTGACAGGACTTGCTGAGAACTGGGTTGTGGGAGTGGGGGAAGCAGATCAGCAGTGATTTTCAGGTTTTTGCCCACAAGAACTGGAAGGGTCAGGTGACACTGGCTGAATTTGGGAAGGCTATGGGAGGAACAGGTTAGAGAGAAGATCAGGAGCTAAGTTTTGGACATGTGACTTTATACTGGGGGCTCCCACAGTTTGTGGGTATTCTTATAAAGGTTGTGAGTATCCTTTATAAAGACTTTATATTGGGGACTCCAACAGGTCGTGGGTATCCTTACTCTGCCCTATGCACCCCCCCAGGAAGGGCAGGGGGGATCTCAGGAGACTCTTGACCTGCATCTCCCCCCACCAGATGTTTTTAAGAATGCTCTCCACCTGGGGACCTTCTCAGCCGTGCTGGTGACCTATGCAGCCAGTGCCCTCCTGCACGTGAGCAGGGTGCAGAGGGATAAGGGTGGAAGCTGGGGGGGTTGGCAGGACCTCCAAAATCACCTCATTGCTCCCCACCCCAGGGCTTCAGCTTCCACCTAGCTGCGGTGCTGCTGTCCCTGGCATTTATCACTTACGTGGAGCATGGTGAGTGCATAACCCAGCCCAGCAAACAGGATGGAAGGTTGGTCAGGGACTGGAAACACCATCCCCTGAGACTAACCTTCCCCCCCACTGGACTTACCTCCCCCATCCACCCCAGTCCTCCGGAAACGCCTGGCTCGGATCCTCAGTGCCTGCGTCTTGTCGAAACGGTGCCCACCAGACTGTTCACACCAGCATCGCTTGGTGAGGGTTCAACCTGGGCAACTTCATGCCCAACACTCCCCCTCAAAAATATTACTTGTGTCTCCATCTTATGTCTGTCTCAGGATGCCCAGCTTCCTTTTCTAGTGCCTGAGCCTTCCCTGTAGCCTCACCTCTATTCACTGGCATTCATTTTTCTAACAAGTATTTGTCAAGCCTCTGCTGTATACACACCTGGAATTAGTTTCCCCCAGTGAACATTTATTGAGCACCTGCTGGGACCAGGCACTGTTCTAGGTGCTGGAGACAGTGATAAACAAAACAAACCAAAGTCCCAGCCCTCTGGTACAAATATTTTAACAAGGGAGACAATAAATAAAAAATCAGTAAAATGTAATAGTTTGTTAGATTGTGATTAATGCCAAGGAGAAAATACATAAGGGAAAGGGGAGGGGAAGTATCAGGGATGAGTGGTTTCCATTTTAAATAGGGAAGTGACTTTTTGAGTTCTTTAACTGAAGGAGGTGAGGGAAGGAAGCATTCCAGGCAAAGGGAACAGTGTAAAGGTCCAAAGATGGGAGATGGCCTGGAATATTTGAGGAACAGTGCAGAAGCCAGTGTGGCTTGAGCAGAGTGAATGAGGGGGAGAGTGGTGGGACATGGTGGGGATTTGTTTGTTTGGGATTTATTTTTTCATTCTGTTTGCACTAATAAGTATGGCCAACTTCAAATTTGTCTCCCACCTGACAACTGATGTTTATCACCATAAACCCCTGACTCAAAGCCCCACCATTCTTCCTCTTCAGCCTGAATACTCGCATCTCCCCCAACATGGATGCCCTCATGCTAACAGTACCCTCATCCTTGGATACCCCTTGAGGAGGTATAAATAAAAGGAGTGTTGGGGGGGTTTGCAATTTTAAATAAACTACCCAGGGGAGGTGACATTTGAGCAAAGACCTGATGAAGGTGTAAGAGCAATCAATGCAAAAATGTGGGGGCGGAGTATAAGAGATGGAGGGAACAGCTAGTGCAAAGGCCTTGAGGCAGGAGCATACCTGGCACCTTTGAGGAACAGTAAGGAGACCCTGAGGACGTATTGTCTTGAGGAGGTATATGTCAAATAAATAAAATTTTATTTTATATTCTTTTTATCATTAAAAACAATTTTACATTTTTATTCAGGTTGGGGATGCAAAATCTGAGTTTTGCTTCTTTTTAAATAAAGCTTTTGTTTTATTTTTATTAAAACATTTAAAAATAATTAATGCATATCACGTGGTTTAAAAACCATAGGAGGATTGGAATCATTTCTTTCCTGGGCAGGGTGGGGAGGGTACCCTGGACATCCTCATTCCTGGGACCCACTACGCCTTATGTGTCTTTCTGGGCTCCCCAGCCCCACTTGGGCTGGGGAACAGTGTATAAGTCTGGCTGCCAAGTGTATCCATTTTCTCCCACAGGGCCTGTGGGTGCGAGCCTTAAATCTGCTCTTTGGGGCCCTAGCCATCTTCCACCTGGCCTACCTGGGCTCCCTGTTTGATGTTGATGTGGACGACACCACAGAAGAGCAGGTGAGGTGGGGCCCTGGGCTGGAGGTTATCCCGGGATGTGTTACTTGCTCATGGGAGTCATGAGGACAAAAGTGGGGAGACTAAGACATGAGAACCTTGAATCGTGTGTTTTTAGCTTATGTAACCATTGCTCCTAGGTCCTTCTTTCTCATTGTCCCTCTGGTTGATTTGCACTGTTGAGTCTTTTATTTGGGTGAACTGTGCAAAATATGTTTATTTTAATTATAACATTTATTATAGAAATGGAGTGAAAAATCCAGTTTTTACTTTTTAAAAAATTAAGTTATTTTATCATGGTTTTGTTTAGGTAGAATTTGCAAGGTTTCTTATTTAAATTTTTTTAAACTCAGATTGTGAGAATTCTGGATTCTACTTTAAAAATGTATATTAAAATGAAGGTACTATTTTTATAGACGTGGAGTGTACACATACCAGATTTTACTCCTTTTGACATGAAAACCAGTTTTAAAAATAATGTTTATACATATGGCTCTTGCAGCATCCAGATTTTACTTCTTCAGTTAAATTTTTAATTAAAGATAAAACTTTACATCATTTTTATCATTAAAAACAATTAAATTTTTTATTCAGGCTGCATGTGCAAAATCTGGAGTTTGCTTCTTTTCAGTAAAGGTTTTGTTTTTATTTTTATTAAAACATTTAAAAATTCATAATGCATATCCCATGATTTAAAAACCAAATGATATTCAGGATATTCAGAGAAAAGTCTTCTCCTACCATCTACCCTCTGACCCTTACAAGTAACCACTTTTCTTCATTCAGTTAAAAAATCCTTGTAAAATGTAAACATAATAAGCACATATAAAAACATATTTTAATTCCCTTCCCCTTGGTTTTTACCCTAAAGGTAACACGTGAATGACACTGTTCCGCATATTGCTTTTTTCACATAATGATTCTTGAAAATCTTCCACATTGGTATATGGTGTCCTCATTCATTATTTTAATTGGGAGGATGTGACACAGTGTAGTTTTTCCCTTATCAGTGAAATCACCCAGGTGATTTCCAGTCCTTTCCTACCGCAAGTAACACTGCAGCAAGTAATACCGGTGTGAATTCATACAGATGCAGATCAGAACTGTAGGATCCATTCTTGATAGTCACAATGGAGAAGTTCCATTTTTGCCCTCCCACCATTGGTGTGTGAATGTGCCTGTCACCCTGCCAACGGAGGGCCTCTCAGACTTCCTGAACATGTTTGCTAGTTTGAGAGGAGGAAGATTATGAGTTAAGCTGAGTATCTTTTCATATGTTTAAGAGCCATTGTTTTTGTTTTATTTTTCCTTTACTGAGAATGGCCTATTCAACTCCTTTGCCAATTTTTGTCTTTTTAAATATCAGTTTCTAGGAGCTCTTTATACATTAGGCAAGAGTACAGGTCAGAGAGGGGAATTGCCTTGTCTTGTTTTTTAATTATTTTTATCAAAAAAAAAACCACAAAAAAAAACTCTTAAGTCTGCTTACCTTTCATCTGTGCTCAGTCTCTTCTCTGGAGCCTCACCTAGAGCTACTGTGGAGTCGCAGAAATGTCCTTGAGCAAAGGATGGGTTTTCCTGGGACCTTCTTTGTCCTTGCAGAGTGGAACCATCACCTCTTTCTCTCCCACAGGGCTATGGCATGGCATACACTGTCCACAAGTGGTCAGAGCTCAGCTGGGCCAGTCACTGGGTCACTTTCGGATGCTGGATCTTCTACCGTCTCATAGGCTGAGGCACATCTGTGGACCCTCACAGCTCCCTCAAGACCCCTCCTCAGGGTGCCAGCTCTGATGGGGGATGAGGGAAGGCCCTCTAATTCTTAACCCCTCTCCATCTTTGATCCCCTCCGGTACCCCTACACACACACACACACACACACACACCTACACGCACACACACACCTACACGCATGCACACACACACACACACACACACCCTCTGGTACCCCTACACACACACACACACACACACACACACACACACACACACACACACACACACTTTCCATGCTTGTCAGTCCCCACCCCACCACAAGGCGGGAAGTGGGTGGTCCTGCTGGGGCCTAGGGGTAGGGGATGCTTGGGGAACCAGAAAGGGGAGATCCAGGGCCTCCCTGCTTCCTTCTCCCTTTTTATATACAGTTTGTGTCAAATAAAAGTAGGAAATACACAAAAGGCTCTTTCTTCGCTGTTCAGTGGGGAATAGAAGTGAGGAAGGGGGCACAGCATGGATAAAGGTTTGGAAGCTAGAAACCATGAAGAGGAAGCTGGCTGATTGCTTAATTGTTAATTTATTATTGCTCATGATTGGAGGATGAGGCCAAAGAGGGCACTGCTTAATTTGAATTAGGCCAGGACATACTGGATAGTTGGATGTAGGGGAGGCCTGATAATAATTAGCTGGAAAATTGAGGGATCCTCACTCTGATTGTTTGATCTGACGGGACAGAGAGGAGGGAAAAGCAAGGTAGGTGAAGAGGTGATGCTTACTGGTCTTTAGGACTGAGGGTTGTGGGTTCTGGTTGGATAGGAGATCTGGGATAGGTCTGGGTGCCCACTGGCTTAGAGTTATGGAGTTCTGATTGGCTCTTCAGAGTTGGCACAGGGAGATGGAGGGTCTCTGTGCCGACTGGCCAGTTAGGCTGAGGGACCTGAGTTTTGTTTAGTTCTGATTCGAAGTCGGGAGAGGTGAGGATGACCCCTGAGCTGTTCTAATCGCCGAGGGAGAGGGCAGAGGCATAATATGCATGATGTGATCTGCCTGTCATACTAACAGTTTCCTTGCCCATTTAGGCATTAGGATTGAAGGTTGGTCCGGGAACTCATTGGTTACTCTGCCTAGAAAACGAGGGAAAAGGTGAGAGGACACAACACAATGCTGATTTCACAGGTGAGAAGGATAACACCAGGATAATGCCTGGTTTCCGATACGATTAATTGATAAGGGGAGACGTAAATTGAAACGGAGACTACTGACAGATTGGCTTCGGACTGAAAACGCCCCACCAAGCTTGGCCTATCCCAGCTTTCACCGACCTCCTGACTCGGTCTCAGCCAACCGCGAGAATGGCACATAGCGTGAGGGGGCCGGTGATACAACAGAGAGCTCCTATTGGTCGGGAGCGGCAGTGGTCGCCTTCCCAGCCCCTCAATTGGCCAGCTCGGCGAGGAATCTGTGAGGAGATGAGTCTGAACCAGGGATTTCACGGAGCTCGGGTGCTATCCTAGAGAGAGACAGGACCCTGTGGGGAGAGGTGGCTACAACCGTGCCTTGGGTAAGTGTCCTCCGACCCGCCACTCCATTCCCTAGCTCTCAACTAAATGGCTAGCCCTTGGCGCGCCTGCGCGAGACCCTTCCCCCACCCCAACACCCGCTACCACCCGCACCCCGACCCCGCTATCTCCCCCATGCGCCTGCGCGAGACCCGGCTGCCGCGCTGTCGTCTGGACGACAGAAAATCTGCCTTCTCATTGGGCAGCTGGACTAGAGGGTATTCTGATTGGTAGTCTCTGTATCTGACTTTCCTTTTCCTCAGTAGCGCTGCGCACGAGATCTCTGCCTTCCACTTTCTTAAGTTTGGCGGCCTTTTTTGCGACTGCGGGAAGAGCTTGGCTCTCTACAGCCTGAACCTGACGGTCGTAGTTCTGATTAGTCGTGTCTTTTTTGTCCTGCGGTGTACAGGAGTACGGGGAGGGAGTAGCTTTGCGTCGTATTATGCAAGATGCTGACTCCTGCAGTGGGTTGCATCGTCGTCTCTGTGCCTCGCCTAGGACTGGAACCAGACCTGGCCCCTGTGTCTCCCCGACCAGAGTGGAACCAATGATGGTGGGGACCTGGTCTGGTTTCTGTGTTTACCACATCGTATGGCTCCTGGCTGGCTGTAACAAGCTTTCAGTCTCTCTGTGGCACCTACAGTCATGTTTTTAAAACAGCATATAATTAATTTTAATCCAGTCTTACGGTCTGCTTATTAACATGAATTTAGTCCACTTAATTTTTATGATAAACTGTTTGGGTTTGATTTTATGGTCTCATTCTGTGCTTTTTATTCAGATTTTTCTCTCCCTTTCTTCTCCTTTCTATTTATTCACACAGCCACCAGCCTACAAAGATATGACTACCAACACCAGCCCCTCACACCCATACTGGCCTCGGCATCTGAGGTTGGACAACTTTGTAGCTAATGACTGCCCAACCTGGCATCTCCTGGCTGGCCTCTTCTCTGTCTCAGGGGTCTTAGTCGTGACCACATGGCTGTTGTCAAGTCGTGCTGCAGTCATCCCACTGGGAACTTGGCGGCGACTGTCTCTGTGCTGGTTTGCAGTGTGTGGGTTCATTCACGTGGTGATTGAGGGCTGGTTTAGCCTCTACCACCAGGACCTTCTTGGAGACCAAGCCTTTTTGTCCCAACTCTGTAAGTCCTGAGGTCTTTGATGTGCTGTGGGAGGGAATTTTCTGGGCAGGAATTGGCTTAGATGCTTACACACCCACTAACAATTGTTCCATTAATTTAAAGTTTTATTTAACTTTGTCACATACATATTCACATGAGCCAGAAAACAAACTATTTAAAGAGGTATGCAGTGAAAAATCTACCTCCATCTATTATCCCAAATTATTAACCACTGTTAATCACTGCTTAATGTTTCCTCCAGCATTTATTTACACGTAAATTGTATAAGCCTCAGTTGGCATAGTTGTGAAAGAGGGATAATAATACCCAAATGTGTGTAAGGTACTTAGAACAGTGTTTGGCAGGTAGTAGATGTCATATAACTCTATTATTATCATTATTTTTTGCCCTTTTGTATAAACAAGTATTAACATACTGTATACACTTCTGAACTTTGCTTTTTTTAACAAGGTCACTCCTCATCGGTTCATAAAGAGCTTTCAAAACATAGTTGTTACAGAATTATTTGACTTGTCCAATATTGATGGGCATCTTCTCCCAATTTTGCTGTTCTAAGCAATACTCATTTTTTGGCCTCATGAATAAAGCTGTTACGAACATTCTTATACAATCTTTGTGTGGAGATCTGCTTTCATTTCTCTTGGGTAAATCTGGAGAAGTGGAATGGTTGGTGTGTGTTCATTTATGAAAAACTACCAAGCTGTTTTTAAAAATGGCTGCACCATTTTTAAAAATGTCCCCCAGCAGTAGTGTATGGGAGTTCAGTTTCTCCACATCCTCACTGACACATGGTATGGTCAGTGTTACTTAGATTTTAGTCCTTCTGTGAGTGGATGTGAGTGATATCTCATTATGGCATTAATCTGCTTTTTCTTAATGACTAATGAAAGTTTGAGCACCTTTCATGTGTTTATTGACTATTTGGAAATCCTCTTTTGTGAAGAACCTATTCCATTCTCCTTCCTGTTTTTATAGTGGGTGATCTGTCTTTTTATTATTGATTCTCTGCTCACTCACTCACTCATCTGTTCACCTTCATGCATGTTCTCTCTCATTGGCTACTTCACTCACTCCATCATCTACACCTGCCTCCTTTTATTCCACAGCCATTTATTGAATACCAATAATAACAACACTTACTGTTCTGTGTCAGGTTTGTACACATTATCTTGTATGCATATATATTAACTCTAGAATCCAAAGGGCTATTCCATTTCACAGGTGAGGAAACTGAGGCATGGAAAGGTCATAAAGCCTGCCTTCTTTGAGAGCCCTCAGCTCTCAAAAGTCTGAGTTCCTTTACCTGCCTTTATTCTTCATGTATGTCTCTTGTCTTCCTCAGGGAAAGAGTATGCCAAGGGAGACAGCCGATACATCCTGTAAGTGTCTGCCTCTGTCAAGGGTGACCTGCATTGGTTTGGGGGAGTGGTTAGTCAGGAAGCACTGATGGGGTACCCCTATGGGTATAGTACAGTGATGCCAGTGTCCCTCCATCCTTTGTCCCACAGGAATGACAACTTTACAGTATGCATGGAGACCATCACAGCTTGCCTGTGGGGACCACTCAGCCTATGGGTGGTGATTGCCTTCCTCCGCCAGCAGCCCTTCCGCTTTGTCCTACAGCTTGTGGTCTCTGTGGGTGAGGAGAGGCCCATACTGAGTGCTGGAGGGGTTGCTGGGGGATCTACAGACATGGGCATCCATGCAGGTGGCATCTCAACTGTGCCCATCCAAGACCGAGTCAGACTGAATGGCAAACTCCCTGAGGTTCTGGAACCATCATGTCCCTCTGGACCTGCATTCTCACACAGGGAGGGTTCATTTCTCCTCCTCTTCCACCATAAAGTCTCCTGTGAAGGTTACATGAGGTGGCCCATGATGTTGGGAAGCTCCGGGTCTTCCAGGGTCAGGGTCAGGATGTTGAGCTCCCTTCAGCAGATTTAGTCCTCTTGTGTTCTTACCTTGTTAGCTTTCTTCAGTCCTAGAAATGTGAGTTTCTTTAGTCCTTGATTCCCTATCTGTCGTGAACCAAAAGATTTTGAGCTTCCTCAAACTCTGGAGATACGAACTCTCGAGTTCAGAAGCTGTCAGCATCTGATTTCTGGAATTCTCACTTTCCTAATTTCTCAAATGTTCAGCTGTATAATTTCAAGAATTTTCAGCTCTCTGAATTTGGGGATCCTGAGCTCTGAGACCATGAATAATGACTTAGAAAATGCCATGGAATAGCTACTCGTCCTCACAGGCTTTCCCCCTTCCCCTTTTACCTCCCACAGGTCAGATCTATGGGGATGTGCTCTATTTCCTGACAGAGCAACGTGACGGATTCCAGCATGGGGAGCTGGGCCACCCACTCTACTTCTGGTTTTACTTTGTCTTCATGAATGGCCTATGGCTGGTGCTGCCTGGAATCCTTGTGCTCGATTCTGTGAAGCAGCTCACTCATGCCCAGAGCGTGCAGGATGCCAAAGCCATAAAAACCAAGAAAAAGCAGAATTAATAGGTGATGGAATGAGTTTGAAGACTGGTGGATGAGGAACTCTGCACATGCCAGAAAAGTCTAATCCTTTCCCCCACAGGTTGGAGGGACAAAGAAAATTAATTTGTCCAACCCCGGGCTGATGGGTGGACACCAAAAGGGCCAGAGGGGTAAGAAAGCTGTGTGAAGCTACTCTCAGAAGCTGTTGGGACAAAGGTACAAGAGTCCTAGGAGGTCCATAATGGTGGCAGTTTTAAAAATCAGGAAATAAAAGATACTGACCCTAACACTGAGAGAGATTTAATTATTAACCCAGAGTTATGACTGACCCCACAGATCCCTCCACTCATTCATTCCACAGACCACCATTCTTTCAGCCATAGACCCCCCCCCATCATCATCACATAGACCTCTAATCTGTGACTTCAAACCCCTATCACATATTCCGTAGATAGCAGATTAGGCCCATGAGTCACACCCATAATCTCTCTTAAGGAGTGATCTGCCCACACCCTTGGTATTTTCTCCAGAACACACTTTCATTTTAGCAATATGGACAGGCCAAGAGTTTTCTCAATTTTCAAGTGCCTCAGTTCACTGATCAGACACCCCCTTCACTAACTCCACAAATCCCTCATCACTCACCTCACAATGCCCCCCATTACATACTCTAAAGACCACCCCATCACTGACCTGACTCACTCTTCACTTACCCCAAAGACCCTATCATTAGTCCTTGACACCCAAAACTCTCCCCACAGCCTTTCATTCATTTCATAGACCCTATCACCACACCCTACAACCCCATGACTTACCCTATAGACCCCCTAATCATGTAGCCCCCCCAGTAGACATTATCACTCTCCCCACATGCATCATTTACCCCATAGGCCTCTCGTCACCCTACAGGTCCTCCAAACATTATAAATTCCCCATAACTCACCTTGCAGCATCCATCACTTACCTCACAAAGCCCCATCACTCACCCCACAGATCTCCAATTACCCTACAGATTTTTTATTACTCATCCTACAGACCACCTATCCTGTACCCACAGATATCCCTCAACAGACCCCATCAGGCATCCCACAGTCTCATTAAACTCATACATAGATTTTCGGTCGTAAAACAAATGGATACTTGAGGAATTTTGAGATGACAAAGGATGAATAATAAAATGGCAGATACCTACAGACTGGCTCCAGGTGACCTGTGCAGAGCA